ATGCTTGCCATAGATGCAGGCGAAACGTCAGGAGAGAATGCCTCTAGACCATGGCCATATAGCCTGAACAAATCTACAACAACCCAATAATAATAATAATAATAATAATAATAATAATAATAATAATCTTTATTTATACTCCGCTCCATCTCCCCCAAGAGGACTCAGTGCAGCTTACATGAGGCCATGCCCATCAGTACAATTATTATTATTATTATTATTATTATTATTATTATTATTATTATTATTATTTAAAACACTTATATTCTGCCCTTCTCACCCCGAAGGGGACTCAGAGCGGAGCACAACATATACATGGCAAACATTCAATGCCTGGGTACAATACATAAACATTAAAAAAATACACAACAATATAACGCAAGAACATCATAAAACCAAAAAATAAAAATACATGAAATGCAAAACAATGTATTTTGGGTATTTTGTCGCACTTTAAGATCCTTGCACTTTATGAATTGCCCTAGTGGCACGCAGCTGTGACGCCTACTGTGTTGCACTTTAAGACTCTTGCACTTTACGAACTATCTAACTGTCGCGGCTGAGACGTTTATTCCACTTTATCATTATCAATCTTATTGAAGTGTACTATTCTCACCAATGTGGTTCCCCATTCCCCTATTTGTATTGTCCTTGATATTAGTGACTAGTGGAAGGGGCAAGGGAGGAAGTGGGCTGGAGTCTGTAGACAACAATGAGGTGGGGAGGGGGGAGAAAGGGAATCAAGGGAGTTGGCAAGAAAAAAACGCCAACAAACCAAACAACTAGTGAAACAGAAACTAAGACCTTGGATTTGGACTGCGGCATGGAGGAGGGGAGGTGTTCCACTAGCCGAGGGGCCCCCATAGAGGTCGTGGTGGGGAGGGGGAGATGCGGAAAAAGGAGACCTCAAATTCGGCCTAATTCGGACCGCTTATCTACATTAATAATCCCAAACCGGTCTCCTAAGGTAAATTGGTGTAACCAGGTTGGCGGGCCCTCCGGATTGAAGGTGGTGCTGTTGAACGCCAGATCTGTCAACGGAAAAACGACCTTTATCCAGGATCTAATTCTGGATGAGTGGACAGATCTGGCGTGCATCACGGAGACCTGGTTGGATGAAGCTGGAGGCGTGAATCTTACCCAGCTTTGTCCTC